ATTAGTGCTTGTTTTTGCCTTGATACATTTCTTTATTAATGTTCTATTTGAAAACAATACTAATCACTAAATTAAAAAAGTCATATGCAATTACTACAATTTACAAGTTGCATTACATTATGATAGATAAGATAGCCTGTTTTAAATGACATGTATATTTTATTTATTTTTTTATCAGGGCTTGGAAAATGTCAAGTTCTATGCTATTAGCCACTGCAAATCTGGAGGGTCCATGGCACACAACCCAGGGCTGAGTTTCTACTCGTCAGAGCTAAATTTTCATTTGCTAGTGAAGAGTGGACATTTTGAGCCCTGGGTTATTTATTTATGTTATATTTATGTAGCGCCGGAAAATATTTTTTAAGTTATGCTGCTGGTTTCATCTTTTGCTGATTCACAATGAAGAACCCCAGGTATTTGCTACTCTTTTTGTAAAATATTATTTTGAGCAATATCTATTGAAGGTCCACTATCCGACATGAATAATAATGTTTTACTCTATTACCTTCTAAAATTGTGTAGCAAACAAAAGTAGTAATGAATATCCAATGTATTTATTCTATTCATTTATTATGCTTGACTACTAATAAAGTGGAATAGAGCTGCAGAAAAGATATTGATACAGGGTGAGTCAAAAGTCAGAAACTACACACAGTACTATAAGATATTGCATGCAATTCAATATTAAAGCGTGCACAGTTATGAGTTTAATGTAGGGTAACATACTGTAGGTAAACTCATTTGTCTATTTCACATTGGTAATGATGAGGATACTTTAACATTAATGGAAAATTGCTACTCTCCCTGTTTTCCAATATACCCATAGTCACCAGAACAGCTGTAGCTTCATGTAGATGTTCTGGTGAGTATAGTTAGTCCATGCAGTCTTTTTGCAGTAGACATTGTATTTTCAGAGAAAAGGCAGAGTTTACATTACAGCCTAGGGATTCCTCCACTGCCCACTCCTCAGATGGCTACTAGAGGTGCTTCCTGGGGCAGTGCTGCACACCCTCTTCATGGAGACACTTAACTTTCCTCATAGAGATGCATTGATTCAATGCATCTCTATGAGGAGGTGCTGAATGATCAGTGTGTTTGGCTCTACCCCTCATCCCGCCCCCTTTTCTGAGATCATCAGAATTCACAATCTCAGCTAATCTAATGCTTTCTTATGGAAAAGCACTGTGATTGGCTGAGATCATCACTTCTGATTATGTCAATCAAGGAGACAGATCAGCACCAGCAGACTGGAATAATGATGAGATTGTACATGTTTTGGAGGGGATGGAGAGTCAGGGTGGCTAAATAGTGATTTATTACTACAGGGTCAGGGATACATGTTTGTGTCCCTGACTCTACACTGTTCCTTAAACATCATATATTTGTTGGGTGTAAAAAATATTTGTAGGAATAAGTGGCTTCAGCAGCTGGGCACTAGCAGTCACTGTTATCAGGAATATATTTTACACTTGGCAGTACATATAGCAAAAGGAGGGACACTATAGTCACCAAAATAACTTTAGCTTAATGGAGTGGTTTTAACTGCACAATTCTCTGCCATTTAGGAGTTTTACTCACCCTATATTTCTCCCAGGACACATAATGCATCACATAGTATATCAAGTCGATGATTCTTATATACTCATGAATGTATAGGCTCCTACTTAAATCTCAATTGTAAAGCATTAGTCTAACAGTCTGAATGTAGATATAGTTTTAATTTATTTTTTACAGTATTTAGGCATTTTTCACCTGGGATTTATTCTGAAATACTGCATTAAATTCTTTATAAAAATCTTGATTATAAGATTTACATAAACACACACTATCGCCTAGACTGGTCTTACACATTGGCATTGCATGCTTTTGATTACCTTCTTTTTTTTTTTTCCTGACCTGGACTGTTTTCAATTGTTGTATGCTTTTAATTGTAAAATATAATTGAGTCTAGGAAAATCTATTCCCACTGAGACAGGTACAGTCTTAATCTGTGCAAGCCAGAATGTGCATTGAATGCTAGTAGAGACTGGAATGGTTCATTTGTTGTGAAAATGGATACATTTAATATGGCACATGTTGGGAAGAATTAATTAACTGTAGCAGAATGGTTTTGCAGCTGCTTCTCTCTGCTGGAAGTCCTGCTATTAAGTATCATACTTATAAACACAATGATCATTTGAAAGCCTCTAACGTAAAATGAGGAAGGTGCAGTATGTTTAATCACTCCAGATCCTGTACTACGCAATCCGCATAACATTTTAGCCAGTTTGTGTCTGTGCTGCAAGTTGTTTTGTTTTATAAATTACCAAATCTGCCTTATCTTGGCAACCACTTAACTGAATTATCCTCTTTTTTGTAAGTATTTTTATTTCTCATTAATGCGTAGGGCTTGCTGTAAAATGTTGTGTGATATATGGCCAAGAAACAATAAAATCAGATAATGTACTTTCAAAAAAAGGGTATTAGAATATTGGGAAAAGCCAAGAGCATTACCCCTGCCAAAGATACTAGCTGCCATCAACTTGATAGTCATAAAATAGGAAGCGGCAATGCAGCTATAAAAACTTCAGAATGCTGAGAAGCTATAGAGTATATTAATGATAAATGCATGTTAAAATTTTAAACATGCATACATCATTTAAACATAAACTTCCATATGTTTGGAATTAAACAGAAGATGCATCATTTTTATGTACAGTAACGGCATTACAGTACAGCGCAGTTCACAGGAGGTGCTATGGAGCGTGAAACCAGATGACTGACATTGGATAATAAATACAATGTAACCAAAGAGTCAAGGGCGACATTTGAGATACTTTCCCTTGAGCCAGAAAAATAAAAAGAGGCTCAATCAAGATGGAAATGTTGAAGAACTGTCAATTTAAAAAAAAAGAAATGCTCACAGCAGGGATACAATCCTTGCTAGAAGGCAATACAGGAGAGCTTTTTTTATATGATGGTTTAAGTGAAAGTGGGACAGTTCACGGTTTGGCATTAAGAGTCGAGTGAGCGTTATTTGCAGTAAAGTATGCAGTAAGGTTTAGAATCAGAGATTCAAAGAGTGATTTGCCATGCAGTAATTGATGTTAAGGGTCACTTGGATCAGGAATTTTTGAAAATATTTTTTTTTTAGAATTTGCTAATGCTAATATTTAGTTCAATGGGAGCCTATTATAGTTGGAATTATTCTACCTGCTACAGCGTAACAGTTAGAGTGTAGCAGGTAAAAATAGTGCTGGTTGAAGGATCTGTCTGATAAAGTTTACCTTTTCATAAAGTCATTTTAGGTCAGTTCATAAATTTACATCTTTCTCACATTGCAGTCAATTAACACCATATTGCTGGGAAAAAAAAAAATATAACAATACCCTACCCATCTCCCACACTTTATTAGGTGTTGGGGTTAGGGTTGGCTTACAAAAATATATATTTTGATACTCTAAATAACTAAATGCCATACTATGCTACCTTCACAATTTTGTTCCTGTACACCTGATGCCAAAATGGAATGTTCCTCTTGTATACATAGAAACAGAATGTGATGACAAATAAGAACCATTCTGCCCATCTAGTTTGCCCAATTTTCTAAATACTCTTATTAAGTCCCTGGCCTTATCTTATAGCTAGGATAGCCTTATGCTTATCCCACGCATGCTTAAACTCCTTCACCGTGTTAACCTCTACCACTTCATCTGGAAGGCTATTCAATGCATCCACTACCCTTTCAGTAAAGTAATACTTCCTTGTATTATTTTTAATCATTTGCCCCTCGAATTTAAGACTATGTCCTCTTGTTGTGGTAGTTTTTCTTCTTTTAAATATAGTCTACTCCTTTACTGTGTTGATTCTCTTGATGTATTTAAATGTTTGTATCATATTCCCCTGTCTCATCTTTCCTCCAAACCATACATGTTACGATCCTTTAACCTTTCCTTGTAAGTTTTATCCTGTAATCCATGGACCAGTTTAGTAGCCCTTCTCTGAACTCTTTTCAAAGTATCAATATCCTTCTGGAGATGCAGTGTCTCATACTGCGTACAATACTCCAAGTAAGATTTCACCAGTGTTCTGTACAATGGCATGAACACTTCCCTCTTTCTACTGCTAATACTTCTCCCTATACAACCAAGCATTCTGCTAGCATTTCCTATTGCTCTATTACACTGTCTTTGATACTAGTTGTTCTCAACTAACTATAGGCATTTTACCAACCTAAGGATTGCTTTAATACAAAAGGTTATGTGATGATGCTAGTTTTCCCTGTCAAAACAACCTTTAAGTCATCTGAAAGTATTACCCTTAAATACCTTTCCTCAGATATTGAGGTTAGGACTCAAAATAACCTTTAAGTCATCTGAAAGTATTACCCTTAAATCCCTTTCCTCAGATATTGAGGTTAGGACACTATCAAATATTCTATACTCTGCCCTTGGGTTTTTACGTCCAAGATGCATTATCTTGCACTTATCCACATTAAATATCAGTTGCCATAGCTCTGACCATTTTTCTAGTTTACATAAATCATTTGCCATTTGGCTTATCCATCCTGTAACATCAACCTTGTTACATATTTCTGTATCATCAGCAAAAAGACATAGCTTACCATCAAGACCTTGTGCAATGTCGCTAATAAAAATATTAAAGATAATGTATGCAAGTAGAGATCCCCGAGGTACCCCACTGGTGATAAGACCTTGCTTTGATTATACTCCATTGACTACAAACCTCTGATGCATGTCACTCAGCCACTGCCTAACCCTTTCCACAATTTGCGAAACCCGTGCTTAAAGATTGTAGTTTATTGATAAGTCTTCTATGTGCGACAGTGTCAAAAGCCTTACTGAAATCTAGGTAAACAATGTCTACTGCACCACCCTGACTATTATTTTAATTATCTAATAAAAAAAACAATATAATTAGTTTAGCATGACCTCCCTGAAGTAAACACAAAATGTTGTCTCTGATCTTGAAATCCATATGATTTTAGACGTTCAACAATCCTATCCTTTAACATGGTTTCCATTACTTTCCCAACTATTGAAGTAAGGCTTACTGGCCTATAATTTCCAGAGTCCTCCATACTACCTTTCTTGTGAATGGGCACAACATTCGCTAATTTGCAATCTTCTTGGCTGATGTGTATGTCCCTACAGTAAGTAATCGAGTAAGGCATTCCACTTGACACCAAGATCACTAAAGAACATATTGTTACGACCAGATAGACATTGATCCTTAAAGGGTTAATTGGGACATACTGAAATCATTATCACTGTTCCCATATTTAATCAGCAGAAAGGGTGTGTATTTAGTAAAATAACAAGAAGTCTAGTGGATGACTTCCTTTTTTATGCCTATGACCATAGGTCCATGATTAAAATAGAAATTCAATAAAATTGAAAATGTATCTGTGCTCTCTTTTATCTATGAGGAAACCCGGGCCTCCATAATCCCCCAATGTCATATGTGCATTAATATAATGAAATTGTTATTTATTGACTGCTTTCACTTAAAAATTGGTCAATAAGTCATCAATCCCTTGGCTTATTTTGAGGGCTCTTTACTTTGCTATTAGTTGTTCACAACTAACCATAGGCATTTTGCCAACCCAAGGAATGCTTTAATACAAAAGGTAATGTGATGATGCTAGTTTCCCTGTCAAAACAATTCCTAAATCATTACATGCTTATAGGAATGGAGCCTGAACGTGACAACCACCTTATAATTATTTTTTAAAACCTACACAGCTTCAAGATGGCTGCCAATCCACAGTAATGCACAAGCACTGCCAGAGAACCTCCAATAACAATAATACTTTTAAACTGATTAGCAAAGGTTTGTGGGATACACAGCTCAGTCTTCAGCCTCACTTCTGTTCTTAAAATGTGATGAGTTGAACTGCCTAATAACCAGATATTAACTCTACAGGGAGTGCAGAATTATTAGGCAAGTTGTATTTTTGAGGATTAATTTTATTATTGAACAACAACCATGTTCTCAATGAACCCAAAAAACTCATTAATATCAAAGCTGAATATTTTTGGAAGTAGTTTTTAGTTTGTTTTTAGTTTTAGCTATGTTAGGGGGATATCTGTGTGTGCAGGTGACTATTACTGTGCATAATTATTAGGCAACTTAACAAAAAACAAATATATACCCATTTCAATTATTTATTACCAGTGAAACCAATATAACATCTCAACATTCACAAATATACATTTCTGACATTCAAAAACAAAACAAAAACAAATCAGTGACCAATATAGCCACCTTTCTTTGCAAGGACACTCAAAAGCCTGCCATCCATGGATTCTGTCAGTGTTTTGATCTGTTCACCATCAACATTGCGTGCAGCAGCAACCACAGCCTCCCAGACACTGTTCAGAGAGGTGTACTGTTTTCCCTCCTTGTAAATCTCACATTTGATGATGGACCACAGGTTCTCAATGGGGTTCAGATCAGGTGAACAAGGAGGCCATGTCATTAGATTTCCTTCTTTTATACCCTTTCTTGCCAGCCACGCTGTGGAGTACTTGGACGCGTGTGATGGAGCATTGTCCTGCATGAAAATCATGTTTTTCTTGAAGGATGCAGACTTCTTCCTGTACCACTGCTTGAAGAAGGTTTCTTCCAGGAACTGGCAGTAGGACTGGGAGTTGAGCTTGACTCCATCCTCAACCCGAAAAGGCCCCACAAGCTCATCTTTGATGATACCAGCCCAAACCAGTACTCCACCTCCACCTTGCTGGCGTCTGAGTCGGACTGGAGCTCTCTGCCCTTTACCAATCCAGCCACGGGCCCATCCATCTGGCCCATCAAGACTCACTCTCATTTCATCAGTCCATAAAACCTTAGAAAAATCAGTCTTGAGATATTTCTTGGCCCAGTCTTGACGTTTCAGCTTGTGTGTCTTGTTCAGTGGTGGTCGTCTTTCAGCCTTTCTTACCTTGGCCATGTCTCTGAGTATTGCACACCTTGTGCTTTTGGGCACTCCAGTGATGTTGCAGCTCTGAAATATGGCCAAACTGGTGGCAAGTGGCATCGTGGCAGCTGCACGCTTGACTTTTCTCAGTTCATGGGCAGTTATTTTGCGCCTTGGTTTTTCCACACGCTTCTTGCGACCCTGTTGACTATTTTGAATGAAACGCTTGATTGTTCGATGATCACGCTTCAGAAGCTTTGCAATTTTAAGAGTGCTGCATCCCTCTGCAAGATATCTCACTATTTTTGACTTTTCTGAGCCTGTCAAGTCCTTCTTTTGACCCATTTTGCCAAAGGAAAGAAAGTTGCCTAATAATTATGCACACCTGATATAGGGTGTTGATGTCATTAGACCACACCCCTTCTCATTACAGAGATGCACATCACCTAATATGCTTAATTGGTAGTAGGCTTTCGAGCCTATACAGCTTGGAGTAAGACAACATGCATAAAGTGGATGATGTGGTCAAAATACTCATTTGCCTAATAATTCTGCACTCCCTGTAGTGTGGATGCTGTAAAGTAAATGGTGGCTTTGAATGGGTTTGGCCAGCAAAGGAGAAAGTATATATTCCTAATTTGGCATAAACCACTGTCAATCATGATCTGTACAGTGTTACTTCAATAAATATAGGGCAGGGGACACCACTGTTTTTCTTAATATTAACTTATAACATGATAGGCACAGGATATTGATTATGAAAAATGTGTAAAGGTTCTCCATTGGATAATTAAAAAAAATAAAAAAATTGATGTTTGTGTGCCCATTATGCTGCACATGATCTGGGGTGATGGAATGTAACACTCACTGGGCTACCTCAACTATTAGCATGGGACATGGGGGGGGGGGATTTATCAAAGTGTTCTGTTCTTCAAATTGGGAGCGAGCAGTACATAAATTAGTGGAACCAGCAGGCAGATTTCATTCCCGACTTCTTTTTTTGTACTTGTTTACACCAATTTTTAAATAGAACGAGAATGCTCAATTCCCACTGTCAACTGGTAGTTTAAAGCAGAAAGAATGTGGCTTTTTGAGTGTACTGTATATTGTTTTAACTTCATACATTATCCATAGTATGTTATTGTGTCTAAAATACCATATTGTGTTTAATGAAGTACATCAGTAGAAATAAAGAAATATATGGTATTGCTTGGTTGTGTATGGTGATCATTGCTTTTGTAGGCTTACAGAAATATCCACTAAAAAACTGATTTTGGGTAGAAGGACAAAATCCTGTGAAAATTAACGAATTCTGACCGCAATTGCAATAGTTACTGAAGCCAAATACTGTTGGAATTCGGTTGAATATGCAGCAATCACCCGAATGCATCCTGTGTCTGGATTAGATGGACAACGCACAAATGACAAAATACTGAGCTAAATGGATATGGCAGGTTTCACATTAGTAAATTATCATTCACTTATCATTCGTGTTTTTGCAAGTGAATGACACTTAAGTAGTATTTGACTGCAAGCTTAGCAGGCATTGGGCAAATAGTTAAACCCCTCATATGTGAGGATGATACTCATGTGGCGGCATTTCAGCGCATTCTTACCAGCTGCCAGAATAAAAAAGTTTCAAATTAAGTATAAATAAATAAAAAGCCTCCGTAAGACCTACATGTTACTATAAGGACAAATTTAAACCTCCTTGCTCCTTGCTCCAGTCTTTAGAAAGGTCCCATAGGGATAGGGTATGTAAAATAATATGATAAGAAAAATCGAGCATCGGGTGGGAAACTTTAAAACAAATAATGGATGTGGATAGATCACTATAAACCTCCCAGCCCACCTGTGGCCAGGGTCTATTTAATAAAAGAAAAGAGGGGACATCGTATTGTCCTTCCTGTCCCTACCAATTTGATGGTGGGCGGGGGACTTGATTATAATATTCAAAGTGGGGAGGACAGAGTGCCCTTCCCTGTCCCCAAACGATGGAGGGGGACTAATTATAGAATTCAAGGGGTGACCTAGTGTCACTATGTCCCCCACTTAAATATTATATTTACTGGCTCCCGACTGCCACAAATTGCAAATTGGTGGAGGGGGAGAAGGGGTTGACACTAGATTCCCCACTTAGATTATTATAGTTCCCACGCACTAATCACAAGTGGAGGCAGGTTGTATTTGTAAGGAAGATTCATTTTAATACCATTGCTGCATTCAGTTCATCTGCATTAAGCCTTAACATCTTTCCTGAATTTAAAGAGATAATTGCTATTTTATTTAATTTATGTGCAGGCTATACATCTTATTTTTACATTAATTTTACCCTTTATTGTCAAGTATATGAATTTGATGGAGTTAAGGGAATATTTTTCAAGTTTAGTAAATTATATATGTGTGTATAAATTGCAATAGGGTCACATGCAAGCACAGAGAGTCAAGCTTCCTTTCAGACCCCTCCAATCAACACACTGATTGACACTAATGCAAGACTCTGCAGGCAGTAAATCCCCTTTTTCATCCTCATTTCCACCAGACACAGGGGGATCTGTCAAAGTGTCAGAAGAAAAGATTGATAAACTTGTCAGCATATTAGGAAGTCTTTAAAATCATCACTGCTTGGATCATTTGCAATGTTTTTGAGCACAGCACCAGAAGAAAATAGTTTGAATGAATAAAGTGAGAAAATGATTATACCATTTCTGTGATATATCTTAATCTAGGATCATTTGATTCAACAAAAAATGATAACAGTAACACATTTTCCTAATAATCACATCAATCCCCTCCTATGAAATCTTAGATGAGGAAAAAAGATTAGAGGACAATTTTCATTCTGCTTCTCTGTTCTCAAAGAGCTTTATAAATGATGCTTTAAATTACCTTCTTTGTAAGCAAACTCTTCTATTTGAAGCCTTCATGATCAGTCAGTTAATGTTCATTTTCACATACTTAAATGTTCCAGTATTTGCATTTATACAAATCTAATGTATAGTAGTAATTCAATTGCAAATTCTTTCCAGATCGCCATCATAAAAATTCCTAGCTTTCCAATTTCATACCAGAAGCATTATTTGTATTAGTAATATACTAAGATCATAATGGCTGTGCGTGTGGAATCTTTCTCTCATATAACTACAAAGATAGTTTTCATTTGTACCAAGCGCAATAATTATTTTAAAATTATTTTAATGAACACTTTAACAGTAATTTTGATGAGAATCTGGATTGTAATAGAGAAAGAGATGTTCACCATACACTGGATATAATATTGTTTTTTTTGTACGTTATGGTAGTTTTATTTCATCTAAAAGAGATTTTAATCGTTTAA